AGAATGGAAATAGTTGGGTTGTTAGTAAGTGGGGTAAACTTTCCTAAACCAAGGCCTTACTCGGGACCATAGACAGCTGGATTCTGATGTAATTTGTGCAGCCATTATAAGTATGTATTACAGAATTTTTGTTTATGGTTTAATTTTTCGGTATATTTATTGATTGTGTTGACTTCGAATTTTGTATAGGTATGTTAAAAGAAGATCCATCCACGAAACCAGTTCTTATTCAGGAGATGGTACAAAGTTTGTATGGATACAACATATCTTATAGGAAGGCTTGGAAGGCTAAAATGAAGGCCATTGTGAAGTTGTTTGGGGACTGGGAAAAATCATATGCCATCTTACCTGGTTGGCTGACCTACATGACACAGATAAATCCTGGTTCTGTGTTCAAGATTGATACGGATCAGTGTTGTGACGAACGACGTGTCTACACCGATAAGGCTGTCTTTCGCAGGGTATTTTGGACTTTTCACTAGTGCATTGAGGCTTTCAAATATTGTAAACCCATAATCCAAATTGATGGAACGCACCTGTACGGGAAATACAAAGGTACCCTATTGATTGCTACGTCACAAGATGGTGATGGATTCATTCTGCCTATTGCGTTTGCCATTGTTCCACCGGGTGAGAGATTGGATGATTGGTTGTGGTTTCTTAGCCAGATGCGTTTTCATGTCACACGTAGGCATGGTATATGTCTAATATCCGATCGTCACCCCAGCATCATCAGGGCTGTGAAGGATCATGCTGGTTGGCAGCCTCCATTTGCGTATCACGTGTTTTATCTTCGTCACATTGGAAGCAACTTCAACACTAAGTTTAGGGACGTGGAACTGAAGAAAACGCTGATGAAACTAGGTAACCTATTTACATGAATGTGTACATGTTGTATGTAATGTTGTTTATGTATAAATCATTGCAATTTGGGTTCATTTTTTGCAGGTTACATGTGTTCGAAGATTCACTTTGATTTATGATTTCAAGAATTTGTCGACAGTAACCCAAAAGTAGCCTCATGGATAGATCAGATTCCCAAAGAGAAATGGTGCAGGTCTTATGATGAGGAGGACCAAAGGTTTGGTCATATGACGACTAACCTATCTGAGTGTATCAATAAGGTCCTACGGGGTGCACGTAATTTGCCAGTAACGGCATTGGTCAAGATGACGCAAAGTAGACTTGTAGAGTATTTGTGAAGAGGCGTGAAAAGATCCAAAAAGTAAAGGACAAAGGCTGGAGAATTGCAAAAAAGGTTGAGGACTTCTTACAAAAGAATGATCAGTTAACTATCAGTCTCCGTGTCCGTGTTTTTGATAGAGACTTGCAATTGTTTGAAGTTGAGGATGCCTACAATCAATACGCATGATGCCGGCGACATTATGAGGGTTGACTTGCTAAATCGTAAATGTCAATGTGGACGGTTCACAGCTAGACGATTTCCTTGCAGTCATGTGCTAGCGGTGTGCAAGGTTGAAAAATTGAACCACTATGACTATGTCGATCCTGTGTTCTCAATTACACAAATTGAGAAGGTCTATGCTGCACATTGGTTTCCAATGGGTAATGAGTTGTTGATCCCAGAAATAGATGGTCCAACTATTATCCCAAATGCATCTTTGGTTCGTGCACAAGGTAGACCGAAGTCTTCAAGGATACTGAATGAAATGGATTGGGTTGAGTCCCAACCCACAAGCAGTCAAACTAGATGTAGCACCTGCAAGCAAATTGGTCATAATAAACGTACATGTCCTATGAGGATTAATCCTAGCTGAACCAATGTTGTGCATGTATTTAAGGTCTTTTGTAAGAGTTCATGTAATTCTAGTCGACTAAACCAGTACAGGTTGCTCGATTAAATAACTGGTTTTGACACCCCATTCTGTTTTGCACGCATTTTTTTGGCACGGAACCGATCGAATATCAATGTACACGCATATAATGACTTGGGGAACACACTTTCAGGTACAAAATAGTATTGTACAAGTTATAAACCACGAATGTACATGTATTGCATAAATCTTGGTTTAGGGTATCCGAAACTTGTGTTCTTCATTTAACTCTGTTATGAGCACCTGTTCTGAATTTCATTGGACATTTTAGACCCGTTGGACTGTGATTAGACACAAATTGAAAACAAGAAGGTAAAAGAAATTTGTTCCTTCATTTGGTAAACAAGAAAACAGCAATAATTACGTAAACGGTTCACAACATGATGGGAACATTAAATAGTTCATTTCATAACCATAATATTACATAAACTACAAATGTCAAATAGGAAGACCGAAGTCAATTACATAACAACATACACTACAAACGTAAAATAGAAACATAAACCCTAAATCTAATCCTCATCCTCCTCGGACGCCGTCTCCTTGTCATCCTCATCTGACACATCAGCCCCCTGCCCTGCAACATCCTCAATCTGCTGTCCTCGTCCAAGCTCTAGACGAGCAAGCCTATCTTCAACACCCTTGAACCGTCCCTGTATATGTCTAAATCTTTCATTTCCCTTCTGCACGTGACTCTTCCTCCATTTTTTGTGTTTCAGTGCCATTTTTCCTATTTTCTTCAGCGTGGCATTTATGCCCTTCATGACATCACGTAATGAAAACCCACCCTCAGGCTCAGCTATCTCCTGCTGGTCACCCTCATCATCATCCTCCACCTCGGGCTCAACCATGTCTACAACTGGAGCAACATCAGGAACCTCAACATCAGCCGCACTTGTGAACTGCCACACTCCTGTTTGGGGGTTCTTTGTCATCTTGCACTGCTCCAGTAGACGTTTTCCAAACTTATGATTATACCCTGTGGTCTTCTTCAAGGTCACATTACCCATGGGAACATCAAAATGGTCCAATATCCTCTGAACAAGACAAGCAAATGTAAGTGCACCCTTGTGTTTGGATCCAACAGATGTAGTGCCTCCAGTTCACCGAAGTACCATGTCGGATAGCCCACATGATGGGAATGTCATGCTCCAACACCCTGGAATGATTGAACGCTCGCGGAAACAGAATGTGGGTGATGACATAGTGTAGTATGCGGGACTCCACAGTAAGCAACCCCACCGTATAGGCAATGTGTTGCCCACGGACTCTTCTCTGCTCCTGCACGGCATCACCGCGTGTATATCCTAGAAGTATGGTCCCGCTGTCTGCGTCATATTCCACAGTCTGCGCAGAATCAAAGTCATACCCCAGTAACTCCAACCATACCGGAGCCGTCATAATGATCTCCACCCCGCAGACCCTAGACCTCAGCTCACCCTGATGGTAGCTGAGGTTATGGTAGAAGGCCCGTACATGCAGCTCAGAATATGAACACGACAGTTCAGCCAAGGTCCTAAGATGTGATTCCTCCAACCACCTCACAATGTTAAAACCTTCTTGTTCAAAAAAGGCTGTATCAAGTGATTTGGCCCCACAAATCGGTCGGTTAACAAAGTCACGGACAAAAGATTCATGAACCACCGGGTCATTCTCGAACAAGTATCCGAATGGGAGGTCGACAGCAGCGGGGTCTTCCTCTTGTGGCCTTGACGAAGACGGACGGTCTTGTCATAGCTTCTGTCGTCTCTCATTTCTAGTGCTAGACGATCTTCTACGGCCAGCCATGGGAACAACTGTACCTACAATGCAAGTGGAAACAAAAATCAATGAACAATAACAATATCAAAAAATTTAAAATTCAATATAAAAAACAAAACCTAATCCTAAAATAAAACAGAAAACAGAAACCCTAACCCTAACCCTAAAACAGAAACCCTAACCCTAACCCTAACCCTAACCCTAACCCTAGCACATCACACAAACCCATTCCTTGCCCTAACACTACAACCCAAACAAAACAGCAACATAAACCCTAACCCTAACCCTAACATAACCCTAACCCTAACATAACCCTAACCCTAAGCCTAAGGCACCACATCAACCCTAACCCTCACCCTCACAACAAACTTAGCACACTACCCCTAACCTAAATCCACAAAACCGCAAACAGAAATCAAATGCATGGAGAAAACAAAAAAAAAACTAAACTTAAAACCAAATGCAAGTCAGAATACGTTACCTAAATGTCGATTTCGCAAGTGTGAACCAAGGAAGCTTCAATCGCACCTTCAAGGGTTGAGATTCAGACTTGGTTGGAGAGAGGGGACGAAATGGAGCGATTTAGTCGATTAGGGTTTGAAAATAACCCCCTTTGCGAAATGGGGTTTTTTTAAAAAACCTGATCTGCGACATTTAGTCGACTAAATAATGTGCTTAGTCGACTAAAAGTGCAAACAATGTAGTCGATTAAGGTGAGTTTTTAGCCGACTAAAATTCGCGTTTCATGATTTCTGAGTTTAGCCCATTTAGTCGATTAAAAGTGCAACTTAATCGACTAAATGGGGGCAGGATGGTGGATAGTTCTGGGGGAGGGGAAAATTGGTTATTAATTATTTAATTAGGGGCAAAAGGGTCAAAAAGCCCTTTTATGTGTATGTAAATACATATATATTAAGAATAACACGTTCGATATTATTAGAAAGACAACGGGGGAAAGACAATGGGGGAAATGAGTAGTATGATCTGAGTCAACATACGCTATACGAACAAAGAAGATTATGGACATTATAGTAGAAATTCGTGTGATGAGAATCAAAATAAGCAATTTTAGTGTAAATAAAAATTATGGAAATGATAATAGGCTAATAGCCTTCTTGTGATTGGTAGACAGTTACTAAGACACAAATGAGCATTGGCGATCTCGTTAACCAAAAAAGCTTGTAATACCCGCCTAAGATTAATCAATAATATTATGTGCGACATAGTCTAGGACAAAGAATAACAACATTACAGCTATTATATAGAATCAAAACATAGTCCTATAAAATTTTATATATAAATCCCACACCATAGCATCTTGATCCACCACCCAGCTAGCTCATTTGTTAGTAGTCAGTCTTAAAACATTCAACATTGATTCCAAAAGAAAGGGAGAAAAAAAAAATGGCTAATGTGTCTGTTCCACTTCCCTCAAATAGTGCAACCCCTGAATGGATGGACAAAGCTGATAATGCATGGCAACTAGTAGCTGCAACACTAGTGGGGCTGCAAAGTGTTCCAGGGCTCATAATCTTGTATGGTGGAGCAGTTAAGAAGAAATGGGCTGTGAACTCAGCATTCATGGCACTCTATGCTTTTGCTTGTGTTTTTTTCTGTTGGGTTGTGTGGGGATATAGAATGTCTTTTGGTGATCACCTTCTTCCTTTCTTGGGAAAACCTGGTGCTGCACTGGATGAGGTTTATCTTTTCAAGCCAGCTTTTTCGGGGGCATTTCCCAATGCTACAATGGTGTATTTCCAGGGTGTTTTTGCTGCTATTACTTTGATTCTAATAGCTGGGGCTTTGTTGGGGCGTATGAACTTTTATGCTTGGATGTTATTTGTGCCTTTATGGCTCACATTCTCCTACACCTTCACAGCATTCAGCATATGGAGTCCTCAGGGCTTTCTCTCCAAAATGGGGTTAATTGATTACTCAGGTGGATATGTTATCCATTTGTCTTCAGGGGTTGCTGGATTCACAGCTGCATACTGGGTAAGCAAAAATATTTTTTATGCATGGCTACGATCTTTTAAAAGATGAGTCTGGAGCAGTGATAAAACTGTTTCTTTGTGACGAAAAGATCACGAGTTCAAATTTTGAAAAGCCTTTTTGTAAATATGTAAGAGGATTGTACTCACCACCGGGGGCGGACCTATTTGGTTGCAAATGTGTGCAAGTGCACACATAAATTTGGTCATACAATTTTTAGTAAAGAAAAGATATATTTTTTAATTAATTATGAGTGTCACTCAAAAAGCAATTTTAGTGGCTGTATTGCCAGATATACAAGCACATATACTAAGAAAGAAACACATATTATTTACTGCTTATATTTAATTTAGTGATTTTATATCAGTAAATTGATTACTATTTTTTTATGTTAAGTTCAAGTTTTTTTTTTTTTTTTTTTTTTGATAACAAGTTTTCTTTTCTTTTGTTGTTTGAAGATAATATCTCTCATATTATATGAATGAAATTTTTTGTGAAGTTATATAATATTAAAGAAAGTGAGATGACACATTATTCAATGAATTGGTCTTGTCTTTTTCTTAACATGACAAAAAATTTGGTTCATGTAACATGAGGGATATAAATTTCTTTTTTTTATTCTTTTATTTTTTAATGTATTTAAAATTTTGTTTAATTTTTTTTTTTCTGAAGCACTGCCCCAAATCCCCTCCACTGAATATTCAGACTAAATATGCACACATAAATAAAATTTTATGGGTCCGCTACTGCTTACCACTATGCTCGTTTGTAGAGATTTAATGGAGAGTGGTGATTGTGACCTCTTAACTAGGCCAAAGTCTATTGATCTTAACATATACCTGAAAACATTCTTTGGCAATCCTATATTTGATCCTAGAATGAAGGGATAAATAAACCACAATCAAATACCATAAATTAATGTTAACTTTAAATTTAAGATACCATATAATATGAATGCATATATGATATGGCAGGTTGGACCCCGGCTAAACAAGGACAGGGAGAGGTTCCCTCCAAACAACATACTTCTAATGTTAGCAGGGGCAGGGCTGCTATGGATGGGTTGGACAGGTTTCAATGGAGGAGATCCATATGTAGTGAGCATGGATGCTTCTTTGGCTATCTTGAATACACATGCTTGCACTGCTACTAGCTTGCTTACTTGGGTCATCCTTGATGTCCTTTATTTCCGAAAGCCTTCTGTAATTGGAGCTGTTCAAGGCATGATTACTGGTTTGGTTTGCATAACCCCAGCTGCAGGTTTGTAAATTTTAACCAATACTGCAACAAGTTCTCAAGATAAAAAGAATCTATTATCTTTTGTTTTAAATCCAATATATGACGTTTCTCTGTTAACTCTTTTTCTTAAAAAAAAATATAGTGGTACCATTCATCAATTGGTAGCTAATGTTTTAATAAGGGAAAACAAGTCTTTACTAAATTTTAGCTATTGATTTCGTAGATGTTAAACTATTCTAATTTATTAGTTACGTGAGTCGTTAAATACAAATGAAATCAACAATTAAGATAGCACTAAGATAAATAAATAAACACAAACTTTTATGTGTTTGGCTAAACAAGATGCTTGGCTAAACATTAGTCTCTAAGCGGGTATGTGGTAGAGTAGAAATTTTTTTTGCCCGGAAATCATGATTATCAAGAATATGCTGGGAAAGTGAATTTTTTGAGAATATGATAAAAAAACTGTTTGGTAAACAAAAATATTACTGAAAATATTGGCTCAAATTCACTGATTTTATATTTGGTTGATTGTTAAATATTATTGAGAATGTCAAAAAATTTCAACACCCGAGATTCCAAGAATAATACCCTCTTGATGCTATTTTTGGATGTCATTTTGCTATACAATTTATTCACAAATCAGAATCCCTATGAAATTTATATCAAACGTGAGTAAATAGAATTTTCAATACCAGTTTTCCGGAATCCAAAAAAAGTACATGTACCAAACGCATCAGGACAAAGGTATATGTACAATCTTGATAATAAAGTATAACCAAAAATCTCCATATTGATCATGCTTTATGGTATAATTGTTGCTTTGTATCATGTTCAGGGGTTGTGCAAGGATGGGCAGCACTTGTGATGGGGGTTTTGTCAGGCTTAATTCCATGGGTCACTATGATGGTAATCCATAAGAGATCAAAAATACTACAGAAGGTGGATGATACAATGGCAGTGTTTCACACTCATGCTGTTGCAGGAACCCTTGGAGGAATCCTCACTGGTCTCTTTGCAGAGCCAAGACTGAACATGTTGTTCTATGGAAACTATAATAAATACGTTGGACTATTTTATGGCATCCAAATGAACATGTTCGGTACTGGGTTGAGACAAATAGGAATCCAATTCCTTGGGATTTTGTTTGTTGTCATACTTAATGTTATAAGCACAAGTTTGATATGTCTCTTCATTGGATTTCTGGTTCCATTGAGAATGTCTGAAGAGGATATGGATATAGGTGATGAGGCTGCTCATGGAGAAGAAGCTTATGCAATCTGGGGCCAGGGTGATAAGCTTGAAAACTCAAGTTCAAAGTATGGAAGCTCAGTATATGATGATGTTGAATCTGGGGCCACCAATAAGAAGCGTGGTGGCCAGGTTGAGATGATATAGAAGTATATATATGTATGCCACATTGTCTTGTTGGTCTTGGTCTTGGTTGGTTTCAGAAAATAAAAGCTCAGATATTATTGTTGATTGGATCCTACATTTAGCTTCGTTATTTGCTATCTTTATGTTCATTCTTCACAACAAATGAACAACATCAATAATAGAAGGGAAAAATAGATGTTTGTCACATGACATTTGTTCTGGATAGCCCACAAGCATAGGCCCACTACTGGGCCCAGCCTAAAGAGCCCACTTCTAGAAGGCAACTTAGGATTCCCCCTCTTCCCAAGGCACAAGGCTGCCTCTGCACAAGGGCAGGGGTTCAGCATGCCTAGCCTAAAAAGGCTAGGCTGGCTAGGTGGACCAGGTCCAACTCTAAATACTCCCTATCACATTGAGGAGAGGGACTTCTTGTTCTCCATTCAGCCTCTACGGCTGTGACCATGGAGAGCCACCTTAGCCACTTCCACACACACCCCCCTTTATGCACCATGAGAAGCTCCACTAGTGGTTGGTCTCTACTATTGCCACTATGGACACTCCCTATATCAACATACTTCACCCTCCATGGGAGACATTTATGTACCACTATGAGTACATTGGCGCCATCTGTGGGAAACGACAAATTTCGATTCCCATTTCTTTACTGGAAGTTCTAAGAACTCTCCTTTCTTCCTATTCTACAACCCCTTGATTGCCTTTCCTGAAAGGCATTCCTGCAAAGACCCTTGTTTACTCAACTACGAAAAGCCATGTTACTGGAATATACACAAAGCCTTCAAACAGAACTTCAGACTGAAGAACCATATTTACAAAGAAAAAAGAAAACAAGACTCTAGAAGACAGAAAGCGGAAATGCAGGAGAACCAAATCCTTGAAGTAAAAGGAAAATATACAAAGAAAAAGGAGACCAGCTTTATGAACCACATGTTGTCTCAATCTGTTGGCTGTTTCACTCTACCAGGATCACCATGTGCTTATACCGATGAGATACATCCAACCGGTCGCCAACCTGACCTTAACCAAACAGCACCGCCTCATCACCTGTTCACCCAGACCGGACAACTTCAACCTCCTCGCTCGCCAGCCTCAAACCGATTGGCACATGAGTTTCATATGAACCAGATCACATTCTCAAGTTAAAGCGTCATGATGCTCAAGAAGAATAGATCTTAGGTGGCGAATGCAAAAAAGTAAAACCAAAACACTCTCTCAACCTCTCAATATTCCAATCGTCTTTAACTCAGCTCAAAAAGATATATATACATTTATATATCAGGGCGACCACCACCGAGCGCCCACGAACTCCGGGCGACCACCAATGTTGTTCACCACCACTATCAGGAGCCTCGCTCAACCAGTCGCCCAAACTCCCCTGGAACCCGCCGACTAATGAGCGGATCACGCAACTACACAGATGATCGGTGCAGATCAACCACCCAACACCATCAACCGCCCAACCAATTGACCAAAAATAGGAGTGGTTTACACCTTCCTGGATTACAACTACTTGCCCCAGATATAAACGCTCAAGGAAGTGACAACCCAGAACTCTCGCCCATCCAACCTCTGGTCGCCCACCGTAGATCCCCTCGCCAGACAGCCCAGAACTCTCGCCAAGGACTCTCACCCAACCAACCTCTGGTCGCCCACCATAAATCCCCAACCACTGGTGCCATGACGATTTCATCCGCCATTGTATCGCTCGCCTAGATCCCCAACTACTGATGCATACACCCATGGAGACATGCAATTCACCTATTCATGGGACTCACAAGCAATTTCTCCAAGAAAAAATTCAAGTCTCTCCATGACGGTTGTCTCCTCCCTAACCACCGATTCACCTACACTTCAAGTCTTCTCGCCATGGTTGCCCCATAACGGTCGTCTCCTCCCAACCGAGCCGCCAAGTCTTTCCACTATCGCCCGCTATTCTGGTCGGAGTGTGGCCACGCAGCTGTCACGCCAGCTCAGTTACAACCGCGCCCCTCTAGCCTTGGTCCCAGCCGATCAGGTGCACGCGGTATCCACACGCGAAAAACATGACAACGATGGTATTTTCTTTGCTTGCACGGTTGAAGCGACTTGAGGATGATGTGGTCGCTGAACTATTAAAGACCCCTGATCGAGAGCTTTGCATCTAAAGCTTGAGTTAAATATGATCGATGGCGGGCCCACACTGAAAAGAATGAAGGAACCAGTTTACATTCACAATGTTTCTGGAGACAGGTTCTTGCGGATATTTCACTTTTCATTCACATGCTTTCGTCAAATTTTCAAATTTCAAATAATGGGCCCACCTATTTGTTATTTAACCTATCTTTAATCATGAACAAAGATTAAAAGCTACAAAGCACGTGAACCAGGTCTTTAAGGCACAATACTTATATTGTTTAATAGCATGCTTTCAACTTCGGTTACGATGATAACATGTGGTGAGGTTTCACTTGACTAGTACTTTATGGCGAGCCCGTCCTGAAAGACACCACTTAATGGTGGACCCACATGAAAGGACACATCCTAATGCTTAAGTTTTGGAAGGATAAAATGATAGTCAAGCAATTTGACAATTCAACATCAATTAATTTGCACGTGAAGTCTGCAAGCTGAATTGATGAAGTGGCGGGCCCATCTAGGAAAGCATAAGTATAATGCTAATTTACAAGCATGTAGTCACAAAGAGAATTTTTCTTCAAAGATATATTTCTACCCAACATGGAGACGAAGCTTTTCATGAGGCCTACATTTCATCACGCCCAACAGGGAGACCAGCATTTTCATCCCGCCAACAGGAAGGCTAACATTCATCAACGAACTAAAAGCTATTTGGACAACACTTGCACGCCAAGTGCCCAATGACATTCACATGCTCAGGTTTTATTTTCAACACCAGGCTACAACATCTCTTCACTAGCATATATATGTTTCTCTCTACCGCATCTTTATAAACTTCATATGATCATAAATTTCATATGAGTTGCTTAAACAATCTACGAAGGTCGGGACGGTTCTCACCCTCGGTAAATAAAGTCCGAGATGTGCTACCCCTCGGCAAAAGTCCTAGATGGCTGGCGTCTGGCCAACGCCCCACCTAGGCACATTTTTATCGTTATTCATACACTACTATACTAGTTGTTGCAGGATTTAAATTGGAGCAACTGGACAACAAAGACCCAAGTTACTGGGCATTATTTATTATACATTCATATCGCCGTTGTGAAAGAAAGGATTATACATATTTATCATCTATGAAGACTCTCAGTCTCTTTCTCTCTTGGAACACATTATCTCCAGAGGCTTTCATCTACTACATAATTTGTCACCAGCGAGATTTATTTCTGAAGAAAGGAGCATATATATATTTATCATCAGGATCTTCATCACTTTTCCCTCTTGGAACAATTATCTTCTCCAGAGGCTTTCATCTACTACATTATTTGTCACTAGCAAGATTTATTTCTGAAGAATGGAGCGTATATATTTATCATCGGGATCTTCATCACATCTCTCACTTGGAACAAGTATTCTCCCCAGAAGCCTTCATCTGCAACGTTATTTTATTATTATCATACGGTCAAGACGTCTTTATTTCAGCTGTTAAAATCTTCAGGCTGCTTGATTCCACATGGGCGTTATTTATCATACATCATATCATCAACGAATTTTATTGCTGAAGAAGGGAAATTTCCGAAGAATAGAGTATATATATTTATCATGAGAATCTTAATCACTCTCTATTTTGGAACACATCATCCTCTCCGGAAGATCTCATCTACTACTTTATTTATCTCACGAAGCTCGGATCTGCAATCCTGTCGACATTATTTTATTATTATCAGACGGTCAAGACTTTCTTGTTCCAGTTGCCAACATCTACAGGGTACTTGATTCAACATGGGCTCGCCAGCTTATTCATACAATTAAATTATTACTACTTCAACAACATTTGAAGACCTTCCTCAATAACAAGACGCATCTTCGAAGACAACAAAGTTCAGCACAATTGCAAGACATAATAGAAGATTCTCTTAAAGCTCTCAAGCATCGCCAACCAGACAATTCATACTCGGTGACAACAAATAGACAAGACATGAAGGCCGACGTATTAGCGATCAGTTACATTATATCCTGCTTAGAACACTACACACTACGAATAACCGGCCTAAGCTGTCATACATCTTGGCACCCTTGCTTCGCAAAGCTACCAAGTTGGGGGGCTTCTGTTCTGGATAGTCCACAAGCATAGGCCCACTACTGGGCCCAGCCTAAAGAGCCCACTTCTAGAAGGCAACTTAGGGTTCCCCCTCTTCCCAAGGCACAAGGCTGCCCCTGCACAAGGGCAGGGGTTCAGCATGCCTAGCCTGAAAAGGCTAGGCTGGCTAGGTGGACCAGGTCCAACTCTAAATACCCCCTCTCACATTGAGGAGAGGGACTTCTTGTTCTCCATTCAGCCTCTACGGCTGTGACCATGGAGAGCCACCTTAGCCACTTCCACACCCCCCCCCTTATGCACCATGGGAAGCTCCACTAGTGGTTGGTCTCTACTATTGCCACTATGGACACTCTCTATATCAACATACTTCACCCCCGTAGGAGACATTTATATACCACTATGAGTACAACATTGAAGAATTTTCCTACTGACCCTTCGTAATTCATGTTTTTTTATAACAAGTGGACCCTACCAGTTGTTGTCTGTGTCGCATGACAGAAAAATTGGTCGGACATTAGACAAACCCATAATAGAAATATGCTTTTGATGTATTGTTGTGGAACCTGACATTGTAGTCCTTAATTATGGCCAAATCATGAGTGATTTTTTATTGTTTCTTCAATTTGGTACCTCCTTATTTTCTCAGCTCAATTTTGTGGTAACGCTATAGTAGACTCAAGAAGATGTAAGATATATCATCAACATCTATATTTACTTCAGAATCAAAACATTATTACTTTTTTTTCGGTAATTAACATTATTACTTCTTTAATACAAAAATGCGAGGGCTGGTAGACACATTTGTGGATAAAATAAATAAATCTCAGGCCACAACAAATAAATCCAAAAAAAAAAGAAAAATCGTATATAAAAGTTAACATAGTTCACTAAACCTTTGCCTACATCCATTGATCTACAAATCAAATTCGCTAATAGCTTTAGAAAATTATATCAATTGATCTTGTCACAAGAACTTCACAAAACACAATCCAATTGATTCTCCAAACAATAACTGGAAATAGTTAGTATTCTTCAAAAGATAACAAAGTTGAGAGTATTTAGATTACTATACAATAAGGTGACTTCCCAACTAGACAAAAGCAGAGCATATTTCGAGAATACCATCCTAGAAAAAAATTTAAACATCCCCTCGCATGGTGCATATAAAGAATAACGCGTAACTCAATGATAATAGAGATTTAGGGGAATTAGTTCAACCCGGTATTCCATCTGAAAGCCTTGTGTTGAGAGATGGTCAAAAGAACATGATAATAACACCAAATATGAACCGTGATTTCATTCCTAGTCCTTGAAAACAGGGTGAAGCGTGGGAGAGGGAAGAAGTGTTAGTATTCAAAGCCCACATCAAATAGAGTTCGGAGAGGAAGCAAGTGCTCTTAATATAAAAAGAAACAGCTTACAAATTGGTAAGGCACGGAGCCGTGTGTTGAGCACAAAGCGAACTATTCTTTCGCCTTTTACTAAAGAATACCGTGTGCTCGTCACCTTAAACGGCATACGCTTATTTTTGAAGTGGTCATTCTTCGGAAGACCCTACAACTCTAGTTGAAGTTTTGTGTTACTTTAAGTGTTAGATTCAGTCTAAGCTATTGGCAGCTTATATATTATTATTATTATTATTATGGAAAATATATGAATCATGGTGTAGAAATGATATTTTTCATTTCTGCAATAAAGATCTGGCAATGTATTTTGAGGATATGGCGTCGTATTTTGATTTTGGTTTGATTTTTATTTTTTAAATGTGGGATTTACACTTGATTTGTGTGTGCAGAAAAATAGCTTTATCACGTGACATCACATGACAAAAAGTGAACTCTATTATTATTGTGCTATATGCTTTACGTGAATTCAATACTTAACACAGAATTTGGTGTGCTATATGCTTTATGTGAATTCAATATTCATATCCTAGATGACAACTTTTAGTGCACACAGCATTAGTCTACGCTGCTCTAGTCTTGAGCTAAATTTTAACAGAGCTATGCTTGGAGTTGTCATCAAAGCCAAAACGTGAATTTAAAGTATGAGCATTATTAACTAGTACTGTTATTATTATTATTATTATTATTTTTCATATCTTATCAATTGTTAAATATTTATTAATTGCTGGTATGAAATGCAAACGTTTATTGTGAGGCCAATAACTAATCAATGTGACATTATTGATAAAGTAGACCATGGATACAGCAACACTTTGGGAAGATGAGAAGATGTTGTGTACTAAAAGTATTAGTGCAACAAGAGGCTAGTTATCCCTTTTTTTTCTCTCCCTGACTTGATGAGTTTTTTGGATCGTACTTAATCGATTTAATTTTAAGAAAAATCAGTCTGGTCTATTGGATCGGTCCATTTCACGAATTTTAGGTTGGCCCATTTAATTATTTTAGGGAAAAGTGTGTGTCATTTTAAAAGATATAAAGTTGTGTCATTTTAAGAAAGAGATAGATAAAGGAGGAGAGAAAGTTGACAAAAAAAATAAAGGTGTGGGTCCCACCTTTTGTGAGAATAAAATTGTATAAGTTGTGTCATTTAAAAAGATAAACATTTTTCTCATTATTCTAATTTGGTGAAAATAAAATCAGCCATACTAATTTTTACAAAATTATAAAAACTATATCTTTGAACCAATCAAAGAGACTGATTGAACGTTCAATGGTTTGACTACAATAATAATTAAATTGTAGTAAAACCAAATGTTCGATGGTTTGCCTTAAGGGAGCGTTTGATTCAGGTTATTGAATTTTTTTTCCATGCATCTGACTTTGGTCTTTTGGGAGGACCATGCAGCATATTGAATAATTTCCCCAACTAACATATTTGTCTAGCGTTTGAAAAATGTGAAGCAAATGGGATAGAAAACACGGTTTAGAAGACCATTTCGAATATGATATTTTGTACTTAACCGGCTAAATGGCAAGACACACTCCACTGATAAAGGGTATACAACGATAATTCAGATTCAAAAAGTATTATAAAGGGTTATTTTAGTATTTTTAACCGATTTTCTCATCACTATTTTACTTTCTATCAAACATACATTCAAAAAATTTAACGCAATTTTTCCGGTAATATTTTTATGTACCAAATTTTTTTTTAAACTTTCCTACAAAAATCACTTTCCTACCATATTTTTACTAATTCTATTTTCCATGTAAATTTTTTTTTCTCCTGAACCAAATGCCTCATAAAAAGTGTTTTTAATTGGGAACCTTATTTCTTATGTATGAGATTCTAATCAAATAGTTACAATTTTCAATATGTGGGAATCCGTTTGGTTGTCTGGATCTGAGTTCGGTATGCAAGTCCATAATGTTCTAATAGACTCTAGCGAATTGAATTCATTACAAGGCATCAGGCTCTATAATTTATAGGAATATAATCTCTAATGTGATATAAGATCATGTGAGAGGATATTGAAATGATAAATTAAGATAAATGATGAGAAAATAATAATGGTTAATTTGTATTTGAATTCCTAATATCATTTTACATACATGAAATTATCGATTTTCATTATTTATAGAAATTAGACTGAATAGATGTGTCTATTCATTTCCACTTTTGCAGTCTTTTGTCTTCAAGGTGTACATCTCCTTGGCCATAGAAGATGTCAGTTACTTAACAATTCAAAGAGAAGATGTCAGTTACTCAACAATTCAAAGAAACAGTTACTTCAACCATTCAATGATTACGGTTGGCTTTTTGTTATCCAATATAGTGCAGTTCATGGAAATACATATATAGAGAATCAATTCAACTCAAAATTATTAAGTGAGGCCCATCAATAGTTTATATATTCTCTAACAACATATGACATGGTATACTGATACTAAATAAATTCATCAAGTTCCTTACTTTGCTGCGGTATGCATTATTTAGCCAGCAGTATGATATACTCTTTTAAGTCCCTTTTGAAATAAGGCTACTAAAGTTTGCTTCTGTCTATAACAATCTAGTTTTCTGACTAACATATAACATCATATAGGAATCGTGATTCCATTCCTATTCCTTGAATAATTAAGGACTGCTGAGGGACAGAGTTGACTCTTTACACTCGAGGCACGACATAAGGTGAAGCGTGGGAGAGGGAAGAAGTGTTACTATTTAAAGCCCACATCAAATAGAATAGGCAGAGAAAGCAAGTGCTCTTAATATAAAACGAAACAGCTTGTTTTATTAAGGTCACGGAGCCATGTGGTGAGCACAAAGCGAACTATTCTTTCGCCTTTTACTAAAGAATACCGTGTGTTCGTCATCTTTGTTGGCATACGCTTATTTTTGGAGTGGTCCTCCGTTGGAGGGCCCCTACAATTCTAGTTCAAATCTACAATTCTTGTTCAAATTTTGTAGATGTAGATCCATTTCAAATGTGACTTCTATTTTCCAGCCAGTGAACATCATAGTCATCCAGCTTTCATTGACGCCGTTCATCAATCGATAATTGAAAATTATAAAACTAAAAAATGAAAAAAAATTGCAAAATTTATTTAAATTGAATCTATTTATGGTTTAATCGATAAAAATTGAATCATATTTCAATCTTATCCTTTATCGAAATACTTGGGGTCTTTTTTAATCATAGTAAATGCTTGACCCATTAATTTATCATATTAAAGAAAGTGAATTGTGTTTGATTTATATTTATATATTTTTTTAGTAGATATATCATAGTCATCAAGCTTTCATTGGCGTTCATCAATCGATAATTGAAAATTATAAAACTAAATAATGAAAAAAAAATTGCAAAATTTATTTAGATAATATCTATTTATGGTTTGATTGATAAAATTGATTCAATCATTTTTCAATCTTACCCTCTATCTAAATACTTGAGTTTTTTTTTAATCATAGTCCAAAAATTAGACAACAAAATTCTAAATGCATGACCCATTAATCTATCATATTAGAGAAAGTGGATTGCGCTTGATTTATATTTATACTTTTTTTTGGTAAATACATCATAGTCATCAAGCTTTCATTGCCGTTCATCAACCGATAATTGAAAATTATAAAACTAAAAAACGAAAAAAAATTGCAAAATTTATTTAGATTGAATCTATTTATGGTTTGATTGATAAAAATTGATTCAATCATTTTTCAATCTTACCCTCTATCTAGATACTTGGGTTTTTTTAATCATAGTCCAAAAATTAGACAACAAAATTCTAAATGCATGACCCATTAATCTATCATATTAGAGAGTGGATTGCGCTTGATTTATATTTATATTTTTTTGGTAAATACATCATATATTTTATTGTATGGGTTATTGTTATACATTAGCTCTTATATGATAAAAATATGAGTTATTTCGTATCTCAGACAATCATATTGTAAGTTTTTTGTTGGAGATAAAAGATGATAGTTCGATTTTTTGCTATACTATATTGAAAATTAGATTATCATTTACATATGCTTCTAGATTGCATAAAAATCATCATACAAATTTTAGGTTTTTTAAAAATTCAAAAATCCATTCAATTTAAATCGAATAAAATTGGATTGGATTGGAAAAAAAATTCAAACCGAATGGATGATTACATAATCAAATCGAAGGAAATGAATCAGATGATTTTTGCTTTCAAAACCGATCCAATCTAGACTGCGAACACCATTATCATATACAACTACAACATCAAGTTTGCATTCATAACCTATGCTTGCAAAGCCACCAAGATTTTTTATGATGGGAGGTGGAATAATGTAGTAGTTGGCACCACCTTGAAGTTTCTTTCTTGTTGAGGCAAACACGATGTAACACCCCGTTCTAGAACCGGTTTGTTAACATTACGTATGGCATTAGGCAAAGTTATAATCACAAATATTGAATTATAATATGGATAAACTTTTTCCTTTTTTGTTAATAAACGTTTCTGTTTAAAATCAATTCCAATAACTGTAAAAATAACTTAAACTATATATGGAACACCTAATGTAATTTTATTTAGACCATGCGTTGCTACCATAGTGTAGGGGTGTTTGCGTTCTGAATTGGATCGATTTTGGAAGCTTAAATCAACTGATCCAATCCCTTCAGTTTGATCATGTAATCATCCATTCAGTTTGGATTTTTTTCAAATCCGATCCGATCCAATCCAATTTTTTTCGGTTTGGATTGGATCGGTTTTCCGTTTTTTGAAAATTCTAAAATTTGTTTCATGGTTGTTGTGCAAATAACATCTTTTGTATAATAGGCTTTGTAAAAAAAATTCTTGAAATACAAAAGCATCAGTAAATGATAATAAAATATAGTTTTTTTTGGCAAAGAGATACGAAGCTCTACATAGATGAAATTTGTTGGTGAGATGTGACTAGGTTTTTCTTTGGTTTAGTTGATGGGTTAATGGGTCTTGGGTTTAGAAATTTTTGAGCTATGATTGGGGAAAGATCCAAGTAGGTAGAGGGGAATTAATATATTGGATCGATTTTCATCAACCCATCCGAAAACCGTTCCAATTCAATTCAAATTTGCGATTTTTTTTCGTTTCTCAGTTTTTCGATTTTCGATTTATTCGGTTCGGTCACCGCGGTTTGAATCAATTTGGACAGTTGATGAACACCCCTACCATAGTGTGCCAAGTAGTCCCTTAGACCAACAAGGCTTAAACACTCAGTTTTATTGTTATTCAACACTACACACCTCCATTTTTTTTTTATTTAAGGAATTTTATAGTAATTCTATGGTCTTCATTTTCCAATATATTATAGATTTCTTCGTTAGCTACGCGTAGGTTCAAACCGCGCTCAAATTGGAGCACCGTAGTGTTGGGAAAACTCGGTTCCCTCAAGCTCGGCTCAGGGGCCTTTGTGCGGAAGTCAATCAACAAGATCCTGATCTCGGCAATACCTCGGCTTGAACTTCACCAGGTCAGGCAGCGCAGCGGAACAATCAAAAACGAAAAAATCAAAATAGGAGAGAGAGAGAAGAAGAACACAACCGGTTTTAACGTGGGAAAACCTTCTCTAATGAAGAAGTAAAAACCCACGGGACCTAGTCCAGATCAAAAATCCACTATGATGATAATGGTTACAAATAATCAAATACACCAATGTGGTGGTTAACTCAACCTCTCCAACAATGGTGATAATCAAACTACCCTAGAGATGTTTCACTCAAACTCTCTCTAGAGATCTCTCAAATGCAAAGCATAAAGCTTTTGCTCAAACAATCAAATAATTCTGTCAAATTTGTTCTCTCAAATCTGACCTCTCAAAAATATGCCCTCTCAGATCTCACCTTGCCTCCACCCACAACAATGAGTATATATAGAGGAGGTGGAAATTAGGGTTAGGGATTTTAGAAAACCCCTCAAATGGGCTTGGGCTTAGCATTGAAAGAGGAAGCCCAACAAATCTCCCCCTCCGACTTCAATGCGACGGCTTCAGCATCAGCCCGGCTCCTTCACAATAGTCTTCAAATTTTCTTGTTGGAACCGGCTTCGTCATCATGTCGGACCAATTTTGGTCAGTGTGCACCTTGACGAGTTCGAACTCTCCACCTTCCACCACATCCCGGATCCAGTGATACCTCACATCAATATGTTTAGTGCGGGAGTGATAGGTTGAATTCTTTGCAAGATGGATTGCGCTTTGATTGTCACAACCCAGCTCGTACTTGTCTTGTTCATGGCCGAGTTCCATGAGGAACTTCTTCATCCACAACATCTCTTTGCTTGCCTCAGTAACGACAATTTACTCAGCCTCAGTTGTAGATAGTGCAACACATTTCTGAAGTCTTGATTGCCAAGAGACAGCTCCTCCGGCAAATCTCATCATGTATCCCGTCGTCGACTTCCTCGAGTCGGCGTCTCCCCCTAAATCAGAATCCAAGTAGCCTTGCAACTCGGCTTTGCCCTCTCCGAATCGGAGACATAAGTCGGTCGTACCTCGGAGGTACTTGAAGATCCACTTCACTGCTTCCCAGTGTTCTTTGCCGGGGTTTGACAAATACCGGCTTACCATTCCAACAGCATACGCCAAGTCGGGTCTAGTGCAAACCATTGCATACATCAGGCTTCCGACGACGGATTGGTAAGGGACCTTCATCATCTCATCTTTATCTTCATCAGATCTCGGACATTGCTTTTGGTTCAGCTTTATGTGTCCGGCTAGGGGGGTGCTCACTGTTTTGACTTTGTCCATGCTGAATCTCTTCAGAATCTTCTCAATATATTTCTCTTGACTCAGCCACAGTAGCTTCTTCTGTCTATCTCGGATAATCTTTATTCCGAGAATCTGCTTTGCAGGGCCGAGGTCCTTCACTGCGAAGGACGAGCTCAATGCCTTTTTCAGGGCGGCTATCCTCGATTTGTCTTTCCCTACAATAAGCATGTCGTCAACATATAACAACAAAATCAGAAAATCTCCGGCCTCATACCTCTTCACAAATACGCAGTGGTCGGCTTCAGTCTTTTCAAACTTATGATCAATCATGAATGATTCAAATTTCTTGTACCACTGCCGATGTGCTTGCTTCAAGCCATAGAGGCTCTTCTTCAATCGACATACCAAGTCTTCTTGGTCTGGAGCTTGGAACCCTTCTGGTTGCTCCATATATATCTCTTCTTCTAAATCACCGTGAAGAAATGCCGTCTTCACGTCCATTTGTTCTACCTCAAGGTCCATTGAAGCCGCCATGGCTAACACGGTTCGGACCGAGGTCATTTTCACAACAGGAGAAAAAATCTCCTCAAAGTCAACTCCTTTCTTCTGATTGCAGCCTTTCACTACAATTCGGGCTTTGTATCTCGGTTTCTGCCCGTTCTCTTAATTCTTAATCTTGTAGACCCATTTATTCTTCAGAGCTCGTCTTCCTTTTGGCAACTCAGTCAGCTCATAAGTCTGATTCTCGTGCAGAGACTTCATCTCGTCTCGCATTGCCTTTTCCCATTCTTCTTTCTCTGAGCTCGTCACAGCCTCATCATAACTCTGAGGCTCACCGTCTTCAGCAACAACGGTGTATTTATCGGATGGGTATCTTGTAGAGGGTCTTCTTTCTCGAGTTGGATATCTCGGCTGTTCTTCAGCTTGAGAACCCGGTTCATCAATTTCATCCCGGATCTCATCCTCAACTCGGACCTCAATGTCTTGGTCATCTTCAGCTTGTTGCTGATCATCATTTTCTTCATTTTCTTGATTTTCTCCCCCTGCTTCAGCTCGGACAGGAGGGATGGGTTCTTCACGTCTGACAGTAACCCGGACTTTGGGCTTCGAGATGTCATGAATGTTCTCATGCTCATGAAAGATCACATCTCGGCTTCTCACGATCTTTTTATTGATGGGATCCCAAAGTCGGAACCCGAACT